CTTACTCTAACGACAAGTATGATTCTGAACGATTAAGCTGTTATTTTACTACAAAAACTATTCTATGACCCTCAAATACTTACAAACACAAGACCAATATCCAAAAAACCATACAAAACTAACAAATCTCCGAAATTATAAGAACATCAATTGTAACCTAAATAATGGACATGAGAAACCCTAAACCTATTCGGAAATCGGAAATACCACACCCTAATAACTCTATTTTAACGAAAAAAGATAATAAGAACATTGACACACCCTAACAACCCTATTATAATAGAAATCAGAAATCACTCTGCTTTTGTTGGATCCAACGAATTGTTGTGGAATAATGACGACAACGAGAGCTTATGCTTCTATCAAGATGGAGAAGAAGACGCCGGCGGGATGGGATGATGAAGCTTCTCCTTTATGGAGAAGAAATCACTCTGTTTTTTTTTGTTTCAGAGCAGAGAGGGAGCATCAGCGGGGGATATGGAAAGATGAAGCTTCTCTTTTATGGTGGTCACGTGTCCTCTTTACATAGGTTCAGTTTTTTTTTTTGGTGATTTATTTAATTGAGTTGTTGATATATTTAATTAGGGTTGTATATAAATAATAATATATTAAAGAGGGGTAAAGAGGAAAAAATTACAAGGGAAGAGTTGTAAGAATTAGGAAGGGTGTTATGAATTGTTTTTAGTTAGTTGGGGTTTATAAGGTTACAATCGTCTTAGAACTTTTTTTTTGTCTCTGCAATCTCTCTGACTACACATTACCGCTGGGCATTTTCTTTTACACGTGGCTCAAGTGGGTCAAATGGCGATAATTAAGGGTGGGCATAAGTAACTCAAAATAGAAAAACCAAACCAAACCGAATAAAGAGGTATCGGTTTGGTCTCGGATCCTTTTATAAAACTTATTGGTTCTGAAATTGAAAGACCACAGGTATCCGGTTCGGTTTTGATTTATACCAGATACCAAATTACAAGCGAATGGTACCAAACTTTAGAAACCCAACTTAATATTTTCCTATGATTGTCGAGAAGTTACTGATGATCTTTTGGTTTTAATGTTTTTTTTTTCTATTTTGCAATATTAGAGACTAAGAGTTTAAGTTATCAACCTTTTGTGTTTCATTTGGTGTTTAACCGTTTGTTTATGTGTTTTATTTTGCACTTTTAGTTTTCATTTGGTACATATTTGCATATTTGGTTTCAGTAATTCGGGTTTGATTTTGGTACTTCGGTATTTAACCGAACCGAACAAAACCGAATCATTTTGAAATTTGGCTCTCTTGTGGTCTT